TAAATGTTGTTTAAGGAGATAAAAAATGTATTGTAGAGTGGGTTTTTTTATTTTTTATTTTTATTATAGTTGCTGTGATAAAAAAAACATATATATAAAATTTTTAATAGATAAAAAATTTAAAATATAATTCGGGAAAAAAAATTGAATAGATAATAAAATTTGGATAGATAGAAAAAAAATTAAACAGATAATACAATTTAGACAGATATTTGAAAAGATAAGGGGAAAAATTTGAAGAGTTGTATAAAATTTTGAACATATAGTTAAAAATTTTGAACAGATAGGTATAAATTTGAACAGATAGTCAAAAAAATCAAACAGATAAAAAAAAGTCAACAAATAAGTTAAAGGGTAAAATTGAAAATAAAATGTTATTCAAAACAAATAAAAAGACTTCTCATTAAATTATTTTACAAAAGATGGACCTCTCACCAATAAAAAATATCCACTGGGCCTAATGCCTTATACCTTCATTGGGTTGAACTTTTCAACAATTTTCTCTTAAATTAACAAAATAAAAAATTAAGGATTTGTTTTATATAAAGGTTTGAGTTTATTTTTTTCTTTTATCTCTTATCTTTTTGTTTTTTGTTTTTTGTAATTTCTCCAATAATTTTTAAAGTGTTGGGTTTTTATTCTTATATTTATAAATTTAAATATGAATTTGAGATAACTTGATGGGCATGTGGAGACTACCATGGGCTCTGTTTCAATGATTCGAACCGTTCATTTTGTAATATCCTCCGTGTATATCATTAATGACAAAAATTAAGTCGATCTGATTATCGCAATATTTTTCATTTTATTAGGTTTGTTTCTAAAAAAATGATGGTTCATTTTTTAAAAATATACTTATCATCCAATTTTTTTTGGAGACTAAACCAAAATGTTATCAAATTGACCTAATTTTATCTATGAATGATATATATTGAGAACTCTACAAAATAAACAGTTAAAATTATCAAAACAAGACTCATTGTAAGTCTCACAAGTTCTTTAAGTTCTCTTAATTTAAAATTTGAATTTAAGAGAAACATCACCACTTTTCAAAAAATTACAAATAGATGAAATTTTTTTAAATGATAAAAAAAACTAAAGATATAGGGAAAATTGTCATTTTAATATATGGGCAAAATAATTTCATATATATTATGCCATTATCAGAGGGGAGTTTTGCACAAATATGTTAAAGTTGGAGAATTTTCTAATGTAATTTATTCAATTATAAAATGATGAGTATACTATCAAGTCATACCATATGTTACAACCGTTGGATTAGTGTTTCCTACCAACAATTTGTGGGACCAGACCATGGCATGACTGGTGGTATATGCTCTCTATCATCCTTACATTTGTAAGATCATGGGCACAACATAGTGGTATCCACTGTGTCTATAATTTTTGTAACAGTTAGACGATAAAGGTCTATATTGAGAAAGTAGTTAAAACTCAGTTTTTTAATTTTTTTAAGATTATATTACATTGTTTTTATTTTTTATATATATATTTTTTATAAAAACTTAAAAAATCAACTTTTAATCTACTTTCCAAAATATTCTAAATTCATAAAATTTACTCAGAATTTTATTCAGAAACAACAATGTATTTATTTAAGGTTAATTGATGAAAAGTCTAATTTAAAGAGGAAATAAGGAGTTAGGTTTGCTGGTTTTTTTTGGGGGGGTAAGAAATACACTATTTGTAAAATATTGTAGTGAGAAATACGTTTTGTTATTTTGAAAGACTTTTTATTCTTAGTTTTGCCCTTTCAATTTTTATTTATCTATTAAAAGTTTTATTCTATCTGTGTGATTTTTCTATTTGTTGAAATTCTATCTATCTGAAATTTTCATCTACTTAAATTCACCAACCCTTATTTTCTCCTATTTGTTGAAAGACTATTTTTTCTTATCTGTTCATTTTTTTTTCTATCTGTTCAAATATTAAAATATCAAGCCAAACCCTAGTTTTTTTCTATGGGCCTTTGATCTAGATCCGTTGTCTTCTTCGACCACCGTGGAAGGTGGTGCCGCCACCCTAGGTGCTCACACAAAGCGAGAGTTTTGGAGAGAGAAAGAACAAAAAAGAGAAAAGAAAGATAGATAGTTGGCAATCGGAGATCTTGATCTTGGGATTGGAGGAAACGACGACGATATTGCTGGTGCTAGTGGCGGAGTGGTCAGGAGAGTGAGACATCGCGGGGTGGCTTTGATATGTTGCTGAACGGCTTTGATCTGTTGACCTCCTGTCGATCGATCTTCAATGGCAAGGTCGATCTGTTGTCGAATAGCTTTGATCCGACAATCGTCCCTGCAAAACCCTTGCCGTCAATCGTAGTTTCAAATAGTGAGATTGACAATGGTGGATTAGTCGAAGGAGAGAAGAGAAGAGAGATTTCCTAAATACAGGTCATTGGTGGGAGAAGATATTGTTGCAGATGAAGGCGGTGGAACTCTGATAGCAGCGGTGATGAAAAAAACGCAGATGTGAGAGAGAGAGAGAGAGAAAGAGAGAAGGTTTGGGGACATGGGGTTTGAAGAGAGAGATAAGTGTATAAATATATATAGATAGTTGATCATTTTGTAGAAACATGTCCTTATGGACATAGTATTTTAGAGCATCCACAATGGATACACTAAGCTGTGTGTTAGTGTCAGGTGCCATGTTTTGGCTAGTTGATGGTGTTGTTTGGGGCTGCAATAGAGTTGTTAACGTGTGTGTTAGTGGTGTGTGTTAGTGTCAGATGTTAATATGCGTGTTATCTGCAGCGAGCGTTTTAGCTAGCGAATGAGAGAGCGAATGTGTGTGTGGGACGTCCCCCGGAAATCCCCCCCGACGTTCGACTCCGAATCCTTCAAGAAAAGGAAAAAAAAAAAATTTGGTCTTATCGGTTGACTTGTCAAAGGCAATTTTTTTTTTTTACTTGTTGGGATTTTTTTTTAGACTTGAAATTTAATTTTGGGCTTGAAATTTTTTATTAAACTAAATTATTTATTTATTTTATTTATTATATATATATATATATATTTAACACACACCTTAACACACTCCTTAACACGTCCATTGTACCACCATTCATTCACTATTTACTCACTAAATTAACAAACTCTTAACACATATTTTTAGATCCCACTTTTAACATTTTTTATCATATAACACACACTTCAACACACAATTTTAATAGATCCATTGTGGATGCCTTTAGTGCCTAGATCTATGGCTATGCAATTTTATAAAATGGACCTATGACTGAGCTCTGTTTATTTCATATATAAATCTCACAATACATTAATTAAATCTCAACCACACACCTTCTTTCATGGTAATTTTCCTTGACTCTTTTTCTGGGTGACAATGGCGTTTATGTTGTAAAATTATAAAGTTCATTTTCTTCTTTCTTGTAAATAGTTTCATCCTTAAAATTCATACAAAGACTTTTAAAATTGTTTAATTTTTGAGTTGGGGTTGATTTGAGAAAAGAAATTTTAGTTCGGTTTACCTATTTTATAAAATTTTTATTTTTTATTTATATATTATTTAGTAACATAATAAATTAAAAAAAAAAACAAAGATAAGGAATATATATATCCCTCTAATTAAAACATTTGTTAAAGATTCAAAATCATCTACTATTGGATAATAATCCAAACTAAACTAAATTCATTTAAATGAGCAAATTCATTTACAACCCCAAATTTAGTAGTTCAAATATACAGAGTGAAGTGGGCAAACTTAAAATTTATAAGTTTATTAGGATTGGGTTGTGAATAGCTATTTAGGGTCAATATCGGGCCAAGACGAGATTGGCCCGACATTGAGATAATACATACTCTTATTATATAATGCGAGTCTAGTCTAAACCCAACCCAATCCCGTCGATGTCCATACTTAGCCGAACACCTCGTTGATGAAGGCTAACCAAAAATAGGGTTGAGCAAAAAATGAAAATAATCGCAAATCAGTCTAATCCAAAACAAATCCTATGGTTTAATTTGATTTTTTTAATATTCGATTCTATCCTAGTTCACAAAATAGGAAAACCGCAATTCAGTTCACGAATGTCTAGTCCTGATTTCGATTTAGAGTCAAACCGGACCATTTTTATATACACACATACATAACTTATTATTTACCATACACCTTAAGTATATGACCAGTACCCCATGTTGTTGTCTGCTGATTATTTTGTAGAATCTGCTCTTGATTTTTTTTAATTAATTGAAGAATTTTAGTGTTTTTTTGTGTGTGTGTGTGTGTCATTACAGTACTTGGCCTTAATTGTTGAACAATATAATTGTTTGGAGTATTGCATTGAACAATAATTGCTTGACAATACTCTTTTGTTAATGAGCAGGAACAATTTGGTTGTTTAATTGATGTTTGGAAAATAGTTAGGTTTTTTTTTTTTTTTTTGTCCTTTAAAAAATGATGACGTGTTCCTTCTTATCTGAAAAATGATAGCAGGTTGCATTTTTTTTAATAAAAAAATGTCAATGATTGCATGTTGCTTATTAATGTTTGAAACATGATGCATTTTGTTTGATATTTGATGTATTGAATAACTGGTTTCAAATCAAACCAAATTGAGTCTCAATATATAGTTCTTTCTGATTTGATTTTATAATTTTTATGATTTGTTTTAGTTTCAAATTTTATAAAATCATAAGTAATATTTAATCTTTAATTTTCTACTAAACTGAATCAAACCGAACCATGTTCAGCCAAAAAAATCCATTTCTTTGTAATTGTACCTTATATTTTGTATATATCATACTTGACAATCTAATTCATTTTTCACTCCAGCATGCAAAAAAACCAGATCACTGTTTCCATTCTCTCTCTTTCCTCTCCCCCAATTCAAAATGTGCACATAGCACACAATTCAGAAAATTTGTGAAAATTTGTAACTCTTTTTTCCTTTTTTTTTTTAAAAATAAAAATAAAAATAAAAATAAATACTCGTATGGTTAACTACTTCAAAAATGTACTGCTATAAGTATCAAATTCAACCCATCTTTTCAATTTATCAAATCATCAAAAAAAAATTAGATGTAAAGCAAAAGAAGCAAGCATTTTTGTCACATGCAAAACAAAAACCTTGTAGTAGAGAGAACTCAAGGAGTGGTGGAGGCTTAGGACTTAGGAGTTTGCTTCTCTCTAGGTCTCAGGTTCAATACTTCTTAGGCGCCATCAACTTTTGTGTTGGGCCAGTCCATACGAAGCTCTACTCTGACTTTAAATGGCCCTCCCGCTAGTGGATGGTGGAATTGGTCCCCTAAGGATTAGTCGAGGTGCACGCAAGCTGGCCCGGACAGCTTGAGTTATCAAAAAAAAAAGAAAAAAAAAGAAAAGAGAACTCAAGGAGAAAAGGAGAAGTTGCTAGGTTGGCTAAAACTTTGTAAAATGGAGGCAATAAAAAGTGACTCATCACTTTCTTCTATATCTGGACTTGGCGGCGGTGGCGGCGGTGGTGGTGGAGGAGAGGGAAAAGCTGAAAATGGGTAATGAAAATTAGTCCGAGCTCTTTCAATGCCACTGAAGGAGATGGAAGAGAGATCATAAGCCAATGCAGCTTCCTCAGAAGGGTCAAAGGTGCCAAGCCAATGCCTCTCCTTTGTGTATGGATTTCTTATCTCGGCGGCGTAACGGCCCCATGGCCTCCGGCGAACTCCGAGGTATCCACTGGAGTGTCTGGAGCTTCTTCTTCGCTTGGGGTTTCTGTTGAGCAAATGAGGAAGATTTTCCATATTGGTTGCTTTGGAGAGCTTTAAGGTGGTTCATAACTAGCCTTATATACAAATATGGAAAGAGTTAGGGAGTTCAAAAAAAAACATTAAAAAAATAAAGTGTGTGACCTAAATCCAAATTTAATATGATGTCAGTTATGTTTCATTAATTTTAATTTCTTTTATCAATATAATTTATAAATATGAGGAGAATTATATCAAATTAAACAATTATAATCACTCAACCTAAATAATCCATAATGAGAATATTTTTTGGACATTTACGTATAAGTCACCAACCCTTATACTCTATGAAGTCCTAACTAAAAATTCTTGGACCTTCAAGTCTCATTAATTTTTAATAGTCAAAATCGCCTTTCAAATAATGATTGTGCATCATTTATGATTATCTATAAAAGAATATGGTAATTTAACATTTATTTTGATTTTCAAAATTTTAAAATATCAACTTTCAAATTAAAATAAATAAATAAATAAAAAAACTAATTATGTTTTTTTTTGTTAAAAAAATTGAATTATTATTTTGTACAAAACTGAAAATTTTGTGTTTATAAAAGTGCATGATGATGGAATATTGATGTGCAAAACTAAAAAAAAAAAATTAAAATTAAAGATGAAAAAACTGATAATTTTTTCAGTTTTACAATTTAAAAAAAACTGATAATGTTCTCGGTTTTATTGGATAGTTGAATCAAATTAATAAGTTGAAGGGCAAAAATATTTAATTTCATGCTCTGTTTTTTTTCATCAGTTAGTGAAATAATTATCTGAAATATTACTATGCAAAATTGATAATATTTTTAGTTTTAAAAATTGAAAAAAAATGATAATATTCTCAGTTTTACTAAATAAGACTTATTGATTTAAAAAAATTTAGATAGAATCTAAGCCACTATAACATTTATAAATAAGGCTTTTAGGTCAATGGGCTAATTTATAAATATAAAGAGAAATATATCAAACTAGAGACTCTTTAACGAGGGAAATATATCATTTTTAATCATTTTTTTTTTCTTTGACGAGGATTTGGCAGACTCAGCTAGCCCAGTTGGTTAAATGAATTTGGTTCATAAATTTTATTTTTTGACAAATTAATTTTGCCAATAAAATAAGGTAGTATAAATAGTAAAATTATATAAAATGATGTAGCTGATTTTTGTCTTACCATTTCAAAAAAAAAACTACAGACCCATCAATGTACTCTATTATGGCCCCATTTGGTAGAGTTGTGGGAAAGTGATTATAGATTATAACTTAACAGATTATAACTTACAGCCCGATCAAAAAAAAAAAGATTATAACTTACAGCTGTGAACATAAGCTGGTAACCTGTTTGGTGCATCTGTGTGATTATAGATTTAAGCAGCAGAGTAGTGTTTGGTAAATAAGCTGTAAAATAATTTTTTGTTGTATAATTGTCATTTTTGCACTTAATGTTGTGATTTCATTACATATTATTTTTTATATATTCATTTTAATTATTTATATCTATATTTATTTTCTTTATTATTATTATTAATTGTGATTTTAGTATAAAAATTATCAATTTGCTCATCAATTATTATTATTATTATTATTATTATTATTATTATTCATTTTAATTATTTTTAGTGATATTTCAAATTTTCATTTTTAGTGATATTTTTCATTCTTCTTCATTTTTAGTGATTATTATTATTATTATTATTATTATTATTATTATTTTTCATTCTTCTTCTTTATTATTATTATTTTTCATTTTTATTTTTAGTGATATTTCATTTTAATTATTTTATCAATTTGCTCATCAATTATTTTTTCATTTTTTCATTTTAGTAAAATTATTTCATTTTTTCATTATAAAATTAATTAGTGTCAATTAATTGCTTAAGTAGCATCAATTACTACTAAAATTATTAATTAGTATCAATGCTTAATTAATGGCTAAAATGGCTTAATTAATTCTGAAAAGTAATTTTTTTAATTTTTTTCGTATTAAATAATAATTCTATTTTTATTAATTATGAAAAGTATTTTTTTATTTTTTTAGTTAATATTAATATTGATTTTTTTTCTTTTTTTTTTCAATTTATTTTCTAGGGTTTCAACGCCACTGGCGAATAGCCGCTGGTGGCTAGGGTTTCTTGGCAGATCAACACAGATCGAGAGCAAGAGAGAGAGAGAGGGATGGCGGTTGTTACGGTCTCAGATCGCAATCGCGATCGCAAAGAGAGAGAGAGAGAGAGAGAGTGTATGGAGCAGATCGTGATGGTGGTGGTTAGGTTTCAGATCGCGATCGCGATGGCAGTGGTGACGGGAGGTTCGTGAGAGAGCTCTGGTTTGTTCGCCAGCATAGAAGAATTTTGGATTGATCGCAGACACGAACAATGTCAACGAGAGAGAGAGAGATCTACCGCGATCGTAGAGAGAGAGAAAGAGAGAAATCACGCCGAAAAGAGAGACAGATCTCACCGGAAATCATCGCTGGAAATTGCGTCGGAAATCGCCTCTCAAGTTTGTCTCTCGAAGAAGTGAACAGTGATTGAGTTTGGGGTTTATATATTGGTGTTTTGGTAATACTTGAAGTTGATGAGGGGCATTTAAGTAAATTTAGCCTTCCTTCTCAGCTTGCCGTTTAAGCTGATTAGGAAAAGCACCCCCATAGCCACTTTTCAAATAAGTTGATTTTTAGCTTACAAGAAGCTATAATCTGCATTCTTAAGCTACACCAAACACTTCAAAATACCTTAAATTAAGCTAAAAGCCGAAATAAGCGGCTTATAAACCCTACCAAACAGCCCCTATATCATGTTTATAGTATTTTTCACAAAATAAACCCATTAGAAATTTAAGGCCATAAAATTCCAAATGTAGGAGGTCACTTATAGATATATATATATATATATATAATGGTCAAAAGTGGGGTAGGTATAAACCCACTATAGACTTTAATTAGTGGGTGCATATATTATGGGTTGCTTTGTTTTGTTTCTCTATGTGGCTTGTTTTTGTGCCTCACTTCCTTATTTTCCTCACTCATGACAACTCTTGGGGTGAGCATAATGCTTAAATCACTACACACCATCATGTGATTGTTCCAAATGTTGTCTCTCTCTCTCTATCCAACTCAGAAAGCCACAAACACATGCTCTATGGGTTGTGAAGAAGCCCTATTTTATACTTCAATAATACCTTGAGAGCAATATATGCACGTGTACTCCACACAAAAAATAGCAAAGAAGTCCCATTGAGACAACCTAGGTTTGCTGCTAGAACAATACTATATATGTAATGAGATTTATATTAATAAATACAAGTGAGACTTATTAAAAATAAGATAAGAAAACTATTTACATATAACATTATTTTTATTGATACTCAGTCAACATTCGCTACAAGTCTATATGAGGGAAAAATTGAGAGACTTTTCTAAAAGAGTAAAATTAGAGGATCACAAAAATAAGTGAAGGAATGTGCTTTCAGGTTGATGGTAATAGAATATTTGCAATCTAAGCAGGAGATGGCAAGTTCGACCCTTGTTCTTGTTGTAAGCTTTTTAGGTATAGTGAACTTAATTGCTCGTCAATACCATGTGATTCAACGGCAATAGATTAGTTTTATTTCAAAAGAAAAAAAAAAAAAGAAGTGAAATTTGGTTAGCTGTATTATTATCTTAGACAAGTTCACACTACATTATTTGAAATTTTCAAATGAAATGCAAAATTGTCAAAATCGAATGTTGCAAAAGGAAGAATTATACTCAAAATAGGCAATAAAAAATAAATGAAAGAATATTACTTCGTTTCATAAATTTGGGCCGCCAAAATTGCGTCAGGTCAATGACTCATGCTGCTATTTATCCCAGGATAGAAATTTGAAACAGAACTAAGTCAATTTTCGCCACAGAGATCCTTTGGATTGATTCAGGCACTTCACCCTCGGAAAAACAAAACCAGCCTTTGGGGGGTTTCCATTTTCCATTGAATGCTCGTATATCTCCTTACACTCTTGTACAACCTGTTTGACAAAGAGAGAATCTTATCCTTCAAAAAGAAAGCAAATTTTTTACAAAAATTTAATTTTAAAACTAGATAGGATTTTTTGTTGCTACTCCTATCGTCAAAAGTTTTAGAAAAGTTTGAGGCTTATAATGGTGGGGAGAAATAAAAAAAACAAGGAGATTATGGATTTCCTATAAATGAATTAGCAAGGTAGCACATCAAGAAATCAAAATTGGCATCACCATATGTTACCATTTATTTCTATCATTTAATCAAATTTATTTTTTCTTTCAATACTTTAGAAAAACTACATCCTTCTGTGATTCCACTAAATGGTCTCTCACAATTAGATTAACAACGTGTTTTTCAATATCATGCTATCTAATTCCAGAGAACTGTCCTAAAACCCTCTATTGGCGGTTCGAGTTTCCTCAGACTTTGGTATTGAGGATCCAATTATTAAGAATATACATACCTCCTTTGCATCCTTCCGTGGTATGCCTTCTCGCAGTCCCACAAGTTTTTCGACGACCTCGGGCTGTATTCCCAAGAAAAAAAGGGGAAGTTTAATCAGAATTTTCCATGCAAAGGGATTCAGAAGAGACAATAGTCTAATTCTTTCCCAGGTTCAAGACATGAAATCAAGTCAAAATAAACTAAAGGCAAAGTAGTGTATACTAGTACTCAAATAGCAAGGGGCTAATGCAGTAATTTGTAGCTTGACACCTTGGAATGTGTAACCATAAAACAGATCCGTCTTTGAAAAATGCCCTATGTGGCATTTTTGAGGGTTAAATTGAATAAATACAACGGTCAGTGTTGTTTCCCTACTAATGAAGTGCCTTCAGGCACAAGCAATTTCGTTCGTGTGTTGCAATCACAAAATATTGTTCTAGAACTTACCGGGCAGTCAGGGTGATGCTCAAGGATATTTGTGTAAATGAGTGTGAAAGTATCCAAACTCTCAGCAGAAGCAAGCTCTCTCAAGTCACTTAGAATCCTCACTCTGTTTTCAACTTTCTGTAGCATAAACCATAGTATTCTGTATTAAGAAGCAGCACAAACAAATAGATAAAAGAAACATATCAAAGAATCACGACATATCCAAAGATTGTTTGTAGAAAGGATATTATTAACTTGAATCATACATTACACATACAACTCAAGGCTCTACAATTTAAGAATTTCAATAAACATGGGTCAGAACTTACAGAAATATTAATATACTCTCTGAAGAAATCCATGAGGACTTCTTCATCCAACCTCATTCGTTCAATTGTTTCCTCCTTGATGTAATTTTTCTACAAAAAAAAGAAGAAGAAGAAGCACCATTTGGATAATAAAAAAGGCTGGCTACATGAGAATACATGCTAAAGGATATCCAAAAAATGAAACGTAATACTTAAAAAATAAAATTGAATCATAATATAGATTTTCTTTAACAAAACCTGGGCAATTAGATGATCGACATAAACAACTACAGTTTCTTCCAGACAAGCTTCAACAAATCTCCTAAATGATCTTTCTTCAATGTACCTGAAGAGAGCACAAGAAATTTAGAAGAAAAAAAAAAATTTGGTATGTGGAGCAACAAATGGAACCAAGAATTCTGAAGCAAACTTACATTTTTACATCTGTAAAATAATCACCAAATGTTGCAACTAGGTACTCTGTAACCTGCCCTTCAGACCATTCTGAGAGATACAGCAGAGAAAATCAACATAATTTTTCTAGGACCGATAAAAACTTAGATTCATAAAATTAACTCAGATATGTTGTTTTTAATATGTTAGATTAAACTATTGCAATATAAAAGTTGAAATTTTCTGAAAAATGGACAGCAAATGATTACAATTTACAACATAGTCTAGAAGAAAATATGACATTCTAGCTTTTTATTTTATTTTTATTTCTTTTCCAAGGGGCTTTTTTATATTTAAAAGTGTAACTCAAGAATATGAAATGCAGGTATCTACAGTCTAAACCTCATAATGTGGTAGGCAAACATAGAGAACTCAAAGTACAATGTGGCAAAAACCTTATTTTTGGATTATTTTTTGCTGAGTCCTTGTATCCTTCAATTAGAGGTGGCTAGAGTGGCTGCAGCGGGAGTTCTTTTGGGGTGGGGGTGAAGAGGTTAGAAAATGATCAATTTGTGAAGAAAGGTGGTGGTGGTGGCAAAGTATGGTGTGGGATGGGGGATTGGTGTTTTGATGTTGTTAGGCAAACACATGGAAGGAGTTCGTGGACAGGATCTGGCTAGGGAGGGAGGAGTTTTGGAAAAGAGTTTGTTATTGGGTGGAGGTGGGGGATAGAGTGAGGTTTTGGAGGGATAGGTACTGTGGAGAGGTGCCTTTGGAGGAAAGGTTTCCATTGATTTTTGGCATTGCGAAGGATCAGGAGGCGGCAGTAGCATCTTATGGCTCTGTACAGGGTCAGACAGTGGTGTGGAATGTCTAGTTGCGGTGAGAGGTACATGATTGGGAGATGGATCAATTGGAGTAGTTTCTGGGTTTCTTGTATGGGGTGCGTTTTGGGGGTGTGGGGGTTGATCACATGGTGTGGATCTGTCCTAGCTCCGAGGGAGTGTTTTCAGTTTCCTTGTTTTATCATAGTATGGAGGATGGGGTGGAGGTTTCTTTTCCTTGGAAATGTGTTTGGGTGGTGGGGTGCCCATCTAAACTTGCTTTCTTTGAGTGGACAGTGGCCTTAGGGCATATTTTGACTATTGATAACTTGATTCTGTGTCGTCATATCTTAGTTAATTGGTGCTGCATGTGTTGTTGGGACGCGGAGTCGGTGAATCATTTGCTTATTTATTGTCCAGTAGCTTGTCATCTTTGGATGCTCATTGTTGCTATTTTTGGTTTGGTGTGGGTTCAACAAGCTTTGGTGTTGGCGGTGTTGCAAAGTTAGGCTGGGGGCGGGTTGAGAGGAGGCGCAAAAAGGCGTGGGTGCTTGCAGGTCATTGTTTGATGTGGTTGGTTTGGTTAGAGCAGAATAGACACATTTTTCAGGGGGTGTCTGATTCAGTTCCGTGTTTGGAATGTCGGTTGCTCACTGTGTTGCATAGTTAGGTTACGGTTTCGGTAGGTCCAGATGTGTTAGCGTTTGTCAATTTTGTTGAGGACTTGATTAGTTAGGCCTTGGGCTGATTTGGCCTTGTTTTTGTATTCTTTGCATCGCCTTGATACTTTTTTAATAAAGTTAATTTATTTATAAAAAAAGTCCAACCCTTAGTTACATCCCTGCACTTGACAGCCATACCATGTCCATGTAACATGGCTTCTATTTAACAAACTTGAGTTATTACTTAACAGTTTTGGTTTATAGCAACATTGGTTTCTTCTTCTTGTTGCTGTTTTTTTGATAAATTGGCTTTTTGTTGTTTTTAATTTTACACTTGTTCTTTTATGTGAATAACTACATAAATCTTAATTAATTATTAGATAGATTTCAATTTATGTTCCAAACATTTCTATGTATTATCAAATTCCTTTTGTCTCTCCTAAAACATTTCTGAAAGGTTTCTGGTTTTTTTGCTTATCGAAACAACAGACCAAAATAAGAATTTGATACTTGGGGACCAAGCAATCAATCCTTGTGCAAGAAAGGCCTGCACAGGGGCTCCAAGGCTTAGGAAACATTGACCTATCGATTGCATGGGGCCATAAAACCAAAGCTGAAGCCCTCCCTAACACCAATTGGTTTTAGGAGAGATGGTGGAAGCAGAGTGCAAAAAGATCCTAACACAAAGCCATGCAAAAATAGGCATAGATGTCATACATAAGACACAAAGAACAAATAAAACCAACACTCATATATCATTCTTTAGAAAGCGTCTATAGGTCATTAGCCTCAACCTTAAAGTCCATGCCTCAGATTTATGATAACAAAATGAGGACTATAACTCAATCATAATTCATATTATATGCTTTACACCTGCATTTCATATTCAATGAGTGGAAGATGGAATATTCCAATGAAATTGAAACTAATTATGTTTTCCAAGTTCTTGTCTTTGAGTTCCTCAAATATTATATCTTCTTACCTTAGCATAATTGAAGTCTTTATGACTACTCAATTCAATGACAAGTTGACAATATAATTCTCATGTGGAAGCTAGGGGGAATTGGGCCACAAGATCTAGTGTTAGTTGATATGAGTTCTTACATTGTTTGTTAAACCAAAATCAACGATATTCATTCTATAATTGTAGTCACTAATATGATTTTACCATTAAAAATTAGTTAGGTTACCAAAAATATAATTACTCAAAACAACACGACAATGTATGAGGACTTAGCTTAATGCCTTGAGGCTTAAACATCAACATTCAGAAACTATTAAACTATTATATGCCTCTACTCTACCCTTTAAAATATCACTTACAAATTAGGGAATATAAAGATAGAAGCTGTAGAAATTTTAATGTATAAAGAGAAATAGAGAATTGTATAGATATTGATTGTATTATTGATTGATATTATTTTGATATCTATTACAATGATTCATGATTCCTATATATAGAAGAGGGTGAGTGTGTAGTAGGTAAGGATTATTGATTGATATTATTTTGATATCTATTACAATGATTCATGATTCCTATATATAGAAGAGGGTGAGTGTGTAGTAGGTAAGGAGTAGGTGAAGTGGAGGTGGTAGTGGTGTAGTGGGTTAGGTTTAGTGGAGTAGGTTTAACAGCCCCCCTCAAACTCAAGGAGGTTAGACACAAACCAACTTGAGTTTGGAGAGAGTAACAAAACATGAAAGTAAACTGATAAATAAAAACAAAACAGGATAGGAGACACGGTATGGTCGTGTCAGACAGTTTACGGGGTCATGTCGGACCGTTGTAGCAGACACTGTGTGGTCGTGTCAGACCGTTGTAGAAGACAGTTTATGGGGTCATGTCGGACCGTTGTAGAAGACAGTTTACGGGCACCAAGGGGGTGACTTAGGGAGTGCGCCATGGGCGACTTATACATGATTCTCATCTTCTTCCTTTGGACTCCGAATTTGAGGTAGGGATAACTACTCATTGTTATAGTCTTTGACATAAATTATTGGTCATTTTGATGTAATGTTTATAATGGGTAATTTTGGAAATCTAAAAAATTTCAATACCCAAAATAGAAAGTGGACAAATATTTTGGGACGGACCAAAATGAAAAGGTGGACAAAGAAAATGGGACGGAGGGAGTAATAAAATTACCTGAAGACTGATCTCATAAGATGCAATAAATGCTGAGATAAATGTTCTCAAAACACTTCTATAACCAGCAATAGGACCCTGGCAAAGATCATTTGCACAATTAAAGAAAAGAACATCAATATGTAACAACGGAATAAAACTCCACCCAGTTTAGTCCCAATTGAATCGGGTCTGTGACGGGTAGATTGGGGGCAGACCCAACATTTGGCAATTTTTGCACAAAGTAGCTGCTCTCAAGTTCAAACCCACAACCTCAAAAGTTATTGGCTCCAAGTTTAACCTCTGAACCCTAAATTTATTATATGCAAACACAGTAAAGCTAGGAATGAAATTAACAAAAACAATAAAAGGAAACCAAAAAAAAATAAAAAATGGGACAGATCAAATAAATAAATTACTGCATTAAAACATCCAACATCAAAGAGAGTAATTGCAGTGCTTTCGTTGTATACCTGAAAGTCACCGCAGCAAATAAGGAGGTCGATTTTCGTGTTCTCTACTTCTTGCAAATGCAAAAGAGTTGCGTATACATTGTCCAAATCTCCATGCATACACCCTTCCACTGCAATCTTCATATCTAATCTGTGCATTAAAAGCAAACAAACAAACACGTAAAGCTCTGAATTGTTTTTATCAAAAAAAGGGTAAAAATTTAAGGGTTTTTGTGAGTTTTTAGCAAAACCCTAATAATTATCATACATAGATACACACACAAAAATATAGTTACAGATAAAAGGAAAACTTGAATCAGTACAAGGAGAAGACTGAACCTACTTCTAAGCCCTGTTCACTATTCGGACTTAATCAATTGTCGCGATGCCCAACTTTATCATACATAGTAATGGTTTTGGCGGTTATAAATTAGGGTTTTTCCATTTGATGCACGAATACGAACAACCTACAAAAACGGAAAATTCTATTTTCACGGGCCCTTTTGATCTCCGTGTACGTAGGGCCGTTTTGTGTAACTGTTGTAACAGATTGCAGATTATACCTTAAGCTCACGAGATTAATAGTGAAATATTAATAATTTTAAATTAATGTATTATTCCTATTGAAGTCCACAACAATTAACCAACCTAAATGATAATGTTGGGCCTTATAAATTCCAGATAGTCCACCAATACGAATATTGCCAAATTTGACCACTCCAGCAAACCCCAAGAAGTATATATTAGGCGCCACCCAGCCTCCATAGTATCTACATAAACCACATAAATTTATGATTTACATTGGTGAACCATTTCAGTTATCAGTTCTCAAAGAACCTGCAATCCCAATAAAAATGATCTGACCACCAAAGTTGGTCATCGACATAGATCATTCATAGCACCGTGAATTATGCACCATACAAAAGCTATAGAATTCCGAGGAGAAAATCTAACAAGAGGTATGTGGAACGTGTCAAATTTTCAAGGGATATGCACAAAACGCTAGAGAAATATTAGATTATTCTTTGGGGGTTTTGAATATTGGAAGGTCCAACAAAGAGCAAAGGTACCTAAAATTGTTGACGCAGATCACTACCTTCAAGATAATTGCAAATGTATAAACTAACTTAAATGCAATTTATAAATAATTTCAAAAAAATTATTAGCAAACCAAGACATTGGAATTTTAGCAGGTACATCAGTTGCAATTTCATTTAAACATATATGCATAACATAAGAAAACCTAACAAGCAACCAATCCTCGATTAGATTTTCTCACACGACAGTTATCTGGGTTTTGGCAGTGTGTCATCATCTCAGGCAAACAAATCAACTTAAAAATATTAATAACAAGCTACTTACAGTTCCCACAGGTGATTAGATGCTTCATGATTTCCACCAATGAATATAGTTGGATATGGAGCTACTTTTTCCCCTGAGTAGTACTTCCAAAACGAGTTCATGCTACGATATTTAGGTTTCACATTTAAGCTTTCCAAATCATTCTCGTTCCTAACAGCCTGTTCTCAATTGAAAGCAACTCAAGTTTCAAAAAATAACGTGAAGAAAGAATAATAGGCAATAAATTATTTGAACAGCCAAAATCAAGTAACATAAAGCAACAACAGGTGTTGATAAAAAAAAATCATCCCTTCAAAAAATTCGCTCCTTTAACTAAAAAAAGTAAAGTGCACCCAGTTTAGTCCCAATTGAATCGGGTCTGTGACAGGTAGATTGGGGGCAGACCCAACATTTGGCAATTTTTGCACAAAGTAGCTGCTCTCAAGTTCAAACCCACAACCTCAAAAGTTATTAGCTCCAAGTTTAACCTCTGAACCCTAAATTTATTATATGCAAACACAGTAAAGCTAGGAATGAAATTAACAAAAACAAAAAAAGGAAACCAAAAAAAAAAAAAAAAAAAGAGGAAACAAAAATCCTGATGAAATCAAAACTCCTAAATAAATGAAAATTCTGAAATAAACTAAACTTTCCAATCAATTATTCTTCAACCAACTGCTTTTCCTTCCCCATCAATGACTCATCAACTTAATACCTCTATGGTTATAATTTTGGATTTCTCCTCTATTTTAGATATAATATAAGTATTAAACTACTTTTTTTTTTCCCCACTCGCTCAGCATTTTCCTAGTCATTACAATCTTATTAAATTTTTTCTTTAACAAACCCTTCTCACCTAACATTTCTAAGCCTCAATAGAGATACCATCTGATCTTAAAGTCTTACTTGATTTCAGTACAATTTTCACCTCACACTTTATTATTTTATTATAAAATGTATTCTCTAGTTCCATCAAGACTACCATTTTCCTCTCCTCTTAAGCTTTGTAATTGTTAGTCCTTCAACAGTTTCTCAAAATAACCTTTTGATTTGTCCTTAATCTCTTCATCCTTCACCATTACGCTTGAATTTAAGCTGATTAAAGGCTCTTGATTTTCTTTTCTAAACTTCTTTTGTTTTTTTTTTTGATAAATAAAATTTTATTACGAAAGCATCAAGAAGATGCTAAGAGAAAAAAAAACTAACCCCTAAAGCCGGGGACCTAGATCATCAACAAAGTCTAAGAAAACAAATAAATCAGGATCTAAGTTTGTAAATATTATTTTCTCCAAAAAATGAAAAGAAACCAAGAAAATGTAAATAGAAAGCAATATAGAAGAAGACTAACCATATATTTTTAAAGGCTCAGCGTCACTACCAAATAATGGACAGGGAAGCCCCAATATAACCTTGGGCCCATAATTAGATGGTTACAGAATATAGAGGTAAAAAAAAAAAGACAGCATGAAGCATATTATACTCCCACAGTTGAAAATTTGAGGGTATAACCGTCAACATACCTTTGCAACCTCCAGGAAACCTTTGCAAGTGTCTTCAAAATTAACCTGTGGAAGTGATAAAAAACAAATTTAAAAAAAAAAAAATATGTTCCACAATCTTCAATGCATAAAATTTATTCACTAAAGTAATATATCAAATTCACTTGTTAATCTACAAGTATAAGACTCTTGAAGAATTAATGTTGTTAAAGACAGCCCTTGGGAAACTCTCATTACACCGATTACTCATTTTCATGCATATTCTATGGGGATTGGGGAACACAAGTCATCCTTTCACAATAATGCCAAGAAAAGTACAGCCAAATTTGGCAGCAAGTAATATGGACTGAAGGCCCAGAAGTGAACTAGCAAGAGATCAAAGGAAAGAATGTGAGAAAAGAAGTGTATCAAGTAACTAAAATAGCAAACCTGTTCAGCATAGTTCTGTGGAAGAGCTTCTAAAGTGCTGTTACTCAACTCCATTGCAAGATCATAACAACGCAGATTGTTGTTAACCTGTTAATGTGTAAAAATTAACATCAAGATATAAATGGTATTATAATTTGAATTAAAAAAGTTAAATGATATAGCCGTATGCTACCGATCTACAAAATTCACACACCAATGCACACAAAGGTTCTAGACCAATTTCAGAAGCCGGTTCTTCAAGTGTCTTCCTTTCAGCTGCTTGAAAATCAATCATTACCTAAAGAAATGCACCATGTACAAGGATATTATTAGCGCATATTCTACATAAAGACCTAATATTCATAGGTTTGAAACCCTAATTTGAAATAGGAAGCTAAATTAGAACATTATTGGGAAGCTTAATCTCTAATAAAACAAGAAACTAATTATACTAAGATTGTAATTAAACTATAAATAAAAATAAACCAAACCAAACTAAGCCTTTTGTTCCTACAAAGACCTATAGGTGCAACGGTAAGAAAGAGTGATTGGATTACTCTAAGTGGAGCTGCTAGGGGGAGAGGAAAACCTAAGTTAACATGGGATGTGGTAGTAAAAATGGATAAACATAAATAAGAATCTGATGGGGAAGATCTAAGTTGACATTCAAATAGGGTGGTGACTCCATATGAAGAAAGTTCCCTGTCAGCGTCCTAATTTTTTGAAATGAGACTACTCTAAAAGATACTATTACTCTATACATTATGCAAAAATAAGACAATAATGAAACAACTGCCCCCAATTAAAAATAGAACATGGCCTCCCATTGAATAAGGTATATAATTTAAGTAAAACTTGTAAAGCTGAACTTACCTGAATAATGGACAAAGCAATTCTGTACAGCATGACATCGGTGCTATTTTCACGAACAATTTGCACTTGCTCGCCAAGGATCCTAAACAAATCAACAGCAGCAGGCGTATATAGCTTCCCATCTTCTGTTTTCTTTGGTGGCTGTACCTTATCAGCCTCAAGGATATTCAAGTACCATTTCTAGAAAATAGTGACAGCAAATGGCAAAGGAAAGACATGTGATCTGAGCAGTGTTATAAAACCAAGTAACAAACCAATAAAGCTATCAGAAAAATTATGATTACCCTTGTTGTAGCTTGCATTCTTTCAACATATGCATTCATAAGGGGATCCATTGCACCACTCTCGGAACAAACTTGAGCTAACGACTCATCAACACCAAGGCTTACCAGATTATCTTGGTATTCAACCACCCAACCAGTCACCTAATTGAAATAGATAAGAACAACCAATGTAATGAAATTACAACTAGAAAAGACAATAACATAGTGAAATGAAGCTCACAACACCACAAAATAATGAACTGTTATAGAAGAAAAAACACATTAGATAGGATGATAAAGAAGATAAATCATTAATCAGATAAGATGAAACAAAGGATCATTAATAAATTAAAATTCATGACACCACAAACGCATAGTAAAATGGAAACTTTTAAACAAGGAATACTTAATCCTTGCTTAAAAAGAATTACTATCCAATGAGTAATTAAAATTGTTTTCCATTCCACAATTTGCTTTTTAGTAGCTTTTTCAACTACAATGCCACAAGTTATGGAGTTTTTTTGGTGATATGCAAATCCGAATAAATGGGCATATCAAAAAATCTAGTATTCATGGAAACTAAGGCCTCGTTTGAGAACAGGTTAATTTAGTAACTTTTTGGCTATTTGGCTAAAATATGAGCTAAAAAAAACTATTATGTTTGGGATGCCTTTTTGGCTTTTTACGAAAAGATGTGCAAAAAGTAGAGAGAAAAGAGAATTTTTGACTTTTTGGTATGTGTTGTTGGCTTTTTGGCTAATTTAGTAACTTTTTGACTTTTTGGCTAATTTAGTAACTTTTTGGCTTTTTGGCTAAAAGGGAAGGTTCCCAAACGAGGCCTAAATGTTGATTTATAATTTCATGCACATTAAAAAACGTAACAAATTTCCATAGTAGTCAGTAAAAACATGTGAATCTAATCAAGAAATGATGTAACAAGGGTACATTGTGCATCCCTCCCACTAGGATACCCATAATTGTGATGTATACATGGTTATGAAGTACAAGTTGAGACACGGAAAAAAGTGGTGTCACTACTATTGTCACACTCCAAGTAGCCTACTGGCCCGCAACTTGAATGGAGTGGTTCTACCAACATGACCCAAAAGCATAAGCTGGTTAGCAGTAGTCACTTAATTCATTATATAACATACTAACATTTCATATTCTATTAATATGGGATATCACAATCTCCCCCACTGAAGTATGCAACATCCTCATTGCGCCCTACCTCTCCGAGCGACATGATTCCAGGACTTCAAAAAGACTCATAAGCTAGCACACTTTGCAAGGTTGTTATCCCCCCTCACAAGGGCACACATGTCCTCCTGTGTGGAGCCCACACTTCTGGTCGAGTTAAGTTCTGATAACCATTTGTCATGTCATGTCCCAAGTAACCTACGAGCCCAACAACTTGAAATGAGTGGGTCTACCAACATGATCCAAAAGCTTAAACCCAAATTGTTGGAAGTAGTCCACTTGGTTCAATATATACCATACCAACATGTCATATTCCATCGATGTGGGATATCACAACTATGCAGTACAATACGTATGCACTATTGATATCCTTAAAATGACAACATTTGAAGATTAGAATATTCAATATCCAACGATACCTTCAGAATTTCAATGTTTGTAAGATCATTTCCCCTGTCACTAAGCAGTCTCAGCCACTGAGTGAACCTCTCAGTGTAAAGATTTACCAAGAACTGGAATATTTCATATCTGCGAGTACAAAATTCGAATTCATTTAAGAAAAACAAAAGAACGGGAAAGAAAGGCAAACAAAACATGTCTTCGGGAACACATCTTAACATATTCACAAGAACACATGTGCACAGGCATGTGTGTGCACACATGCTCAAATCTACGAGAAACAGCAACAAATTTAAATCCAAAAAGACAATAAAGAACAAAAAATGTATATTACGTTCTCCCAAGTTGAATTGCTGGACACTAGAACCTGCAATGTTTTTAGTATTGTGAATTTGTGATTAATGTTACTTTTAAACTGTTTAGAGTTTACTGGATTTGGGAACTATTTTGAGCTTCTAAGGGGGAAAAGACTCAAACAATTGAGACTTTTGAGCAATCCAACTAACAAAGAAGCAGATAAGAGAGCCTAAGTTTTCCAATTTGCACTTTAGTCACTGTCAGATTACCAAAAGCTGAACCAGTAAGGAAGTGGGCCTTACAATGTGTACTAAAATAATAGTAGACGAGAGCCTTTTCTAGCTATAAGGAAGTGGGCCTTACAATGTGTACTAAAATAATAGTACACAAGAGAGCCTTTTCCAATTTGCACTTTAGTCACTGGGAATGCTTTCGAGTCACTTCTAGCCATACCATTACTTATAAAAGCAAGATTACAGTTTCACTCCCTTCTGAATAATGTTTTTTCTCAACAGCCACCACACCAGCCTGTAATTTGGAATTTGATTGCTTATTGCTTATTATCTAGCTTGGAGTCTTTCACTCATATTTCTCAGTGAACATAAAAAAGTGATAAAATTAAGTAATTCAGGGTAAACACCTTCATATGCAGTAACAAAAATTTAAAAAAAATACTAAAAAAACAAATAAATAATAAGCTAAAAGTGAAGAGAAATGAGCAGATTTTAATTAAAGAGAAATTTGTCTATTTCAGACACAAGCTGACTACAAGATGAAAGAAAGCAGATGTAGAGTTAACACAGGACAAACCTTGGAGGAAAACAAGGAGCCACATAGTCATATATATCTCCAAGCTCTTCTCCAATCTAAAAGTCAAAAAAGATAACTGAATTCATCATGAATGAAAGCACAAATTTACTTCCTAACATTCCACAACAATAGAGACATGGAATTGCAATGGACATTTAAGTAGATATAAGGTTTATGCGTAGCAGTTGGAATTAGAAAGATCAAATGACTTGCAACCAAGCATTAACTGTTATATTTACCGCACAACCACACACTCACAATGGGAGAGATTTACTCTTTGTTTTTTTTTTGTTTGTTTGTTGATAAATAGAGATTTACTTTCTTGGCTAAGAAACAATTGATTCTAGAGAAGGGTTGAAGAGTTTTTTACACATAAGAAACAAAACACAACCAAAATAGAGTGGGCATGAAACTTAAAATAGCGAAAGGTTGAGGAATTTTTTTACACATAAGAAGCAAAACACAACCGAAATCAATCAAATGTGTTTGATTACACCTATAGAAGCAAGATTATAAATCTACTAATCCAAACCAAGCCAAACTAAGCCTTGTGTCCCAATCAGTGAGCTAGTGATATTTCCCATCATATATTAACAAGGATGGACATTACCAAAATTACAACTCACTGGTATGGCAAAATTACATCGATCTCCCTTGACATTTGAATCACATCTCACAAAACCTCTCATTGTTAGAAATCCGTTAAAGACCCTAATGGAATAGTATAATGTAAGCAATTTTATGGTTAAATTTCCTACTTTGCCCTTAACATGTTGGATCCACGAATGGGCCAAGCTGTTGACCATCTTCCCAGTCCTTCTTTCTTGGCCTTCTCTCTCAGACATGTTCCTTTCTCTCTCATCCCCACCACTCATCCTTTGCACTGCCTCCAATGCCGACACCAATACCGATGCCTCCAACCATGATCCCCGTAGTGATGACGCCTCCTTTCGCACCCTCAACACTGACACCTCCAGATGTACCACCAGTGGCCTCCATCCGCAACCCCCAACACCACCAATTTCATATTTGACCCCCCAACACGGTCAACCTCCAGATCTACCATGAATGGCCTCTATGGCGAACCTATATCTCTCCTCGATTGCAGCCTTCATCGTCATCATCGCCACCAAGCCCTAGATCTAACATCTTCAAATCGCAATCCATGGGATATGTTGGGATGCCACTGTAGAGATGTCACTGCAAGGTAGAGAAAGAAGGCAAATGGAGGGAGAAAATGAGAGAGATAGGGAACCACTACCACCAAGTACCATCCTCCGGTAAGATGATCCCTCCACTGCCAAGCCACTATCCTCCCTGTGAACTTCTCCAACTGTGATCCCCAGTGAACCTCTCTAGATCCAAATCCATATTTTTTGTGTGCGCGCGTGTGGTGGGGGAGAGTTAGAGTTAGGGTTTGAGTTTGATTTCTTAGTTTTTTATGGGGTTTGATTTATTTTTTTTTTGTTTTGATTTATTGTTTTGTGATTGTGGTGGTAGGGTGAGGGGAGATAAGAGTGGTGGTAGGGTGGTTGTGTGTTGAGGGCAGTGGTGGTGGGCAGAGACAATGGTGGCGACAACATAGTGTCCGTTCAGTTGGGCAAAGACATAGTGGTAGAGACAAGATGGTTGTGCGGTGGGAATAAAGGCTCACTATGCAAAGCGGGGAGAAGGAGAAGGAAATGGTGGTTGTACAGTGATGGTGGAGGAGTGGAAGGGAGTGGTGATTGGTTGTGGGGAAAAGAGGGGGCAACAGAGAAGTTAGATTTTTGTTTTGTCTATTTTACAATTGAGGGTATTTTTGTCTTTTTACGTATTCTGTTAACCGAGTTAACTTTTGAGGCCCATTAGGGGAGGTGCGTTTAATCTGTCCATACTAGTAGGACCAGCTGCAATTTTGGTAATATCCAGGGAAGGTTCGTGTAATCTGCCCTGACAAGAAATCTCAGGATTTAACCTTCACAGAAGAAACAATATCAAGCAAATATTGCTTTAAAAAGATACTAACTTGTGTCATACTGACAGGATCTCAAACTTTAATGGGGCTTGCTTTTAAATCATTTTCAACCTTAATACTGGTTTAGATTATATATTTACTAAAGTCAAACCATATATTCAAATCAAAACTATATGCAAGGAAAGCCAATATCCTAGATATCCATACGGCTATTAACATTTCACAATTTTGCACAATTTTCTCTTTTCTCCCTTTAGGCCCTGTTTGATTGGGGGATATGAAGATTGGGATTGGATATTATATCCGGTGGGGTCCATATATCTCATATGTTAAAATTTACCATCACCTACCACCAATTTACCATCACCTACCACCACCTACTCCTCACCTACTCCTCACCTACTACACTCACCCTCTCCTATATAATGAGCCACTCACCATTTGTAATAAATACAATAACAATACATCAATCAATAATACATCTATTTCTTACATGGTATCAGAGCAGGTTTAGAACCTAATATTTTCGCTTCACCGGCGGGCGGCAACCTCACCTTAGCCGTCCGCCGGATCTCAACCTAGTCCGTTTATTTTCTACGCTCACCTTGCCAATCAAGTCCTCCTAGACCACCGCTGTTCTCTCTGTTCTGCATACCCGATAAATCAACCTGAGCAGTCTGATCCAGAAACCCAGCCGAGATCTGCTGTATCTTCAATTCATTAGGTACCGTTCTTCCCTAATTTTAGAGCCACTGAAATCTGCTAGTCAAATCACCATAGCCATGGAGAATGATGCGGACCGACAACAGACGCTCTTGACCAGGAACATTGTTCTGAGATTCTGCCTGCGAAGATGTTTTACAGAGCTGAGGAATACCATCAGCTCGGAGATCCGACAACATGCTTGATCGATAAGCCTCCTCCGCCTCCCGTAGCACCATGCTCTCTCCCTCTCTCTTTCCCCACTCATTTCTGTTTTTTATTCATCATTATCTTCCCATCCACCGCCCAAACCTTGTTTTTTATTCATTGGTGTTCTGGCTTCCCTCTGTGCCCACTCACCTATATTATATTTTTTCTTTTCCTCGTCGTGATCAGCCATTGATTGCCCTAGACAGAGAGAGACATCAAGAGACTTTACACTCCACAGATCAATTCAATACAGCAAAATCCATAAACTTGAATAAAGGTGTCTATTTCTCTCTCTCTTTGTAATACACTCACCAAGCTCTTTCTCTCTCTCTCTAATAATCAACCCACATGCCCCACATGTCCCAAGATATTTCCCTTTACACATAAACACTCCCTACGCACTAACAAATTATTATTATTTCTTTCTTTTGTTTTTTATTTTTCTTTCACTTTCTTTTTAATTTGTTTTTTTTTTCATTCTTATTTCTGCTCCGTTCAAAAAAAAAAAAAAAAAAAAAAAAAAAAAAAAAAAAAAAAAAAAAAAAAAACAGAATAATATAAAACTAAAAAAAAAATTATAATATTTGCAATAAAACATAATATCATGTTTTTGCCGAAAACCAAAAAAAAAAAAAAAAAAAAGGAAAAAAAAAACAAACAAACACACCAACACAAAAACAACAAAACAACCACACCCACAGTGGGATTTTTTTCTTCTCTACTCTGCCGCCGGTCTCTTCTTCTTGCCTCCGTCTTGGACGGCCCTTGACGGTGTTGCCTCCGTGCTTCCTAGACCACCAAGCAAGTTGTCTCCTCCCTGCTCCTCCACTGCAGCATATGGCAGCCCTCCAAATCGGAACATCACGGTGGCCTTCCGCTTCAGCTCCTTATTTTCCGTCTTTAGCACGCTTATCTCTGCTCGCGCATCCTTATACATGCGTTGGAGCAGTTGCCTCCGTGCTTCCTAGACCACCAAGCAAGTTGCCTCCTCTCTGCTCCTCCACTGCAGCATATGGCGGCCCTCCAAATCGGAACATCACGGTGGCCTTCCGCTTCAGCTCCTTATTTTCTGCCTTCGGCACACTTATCTCTGCTCGCGCATCCTTATACATGCGTTGGAGCAGAGCCAGCTGGGAGTTTAACTGTTGCACCTCATTTGTCCTGCTCTGCAGCCGGTGCGACAAGTTTGTGACCGCAGTCATGGTTTCCACACAGGACTTCAGAGTATACTGATTGGCCTCAATATCAGTTTGCACCGCCATTTTTTGCTCCACCGACCGCATCGGAAAGTTCAACGGAGCAAACCAGAGGCGTGTTTGGTTGAGTTCACTGGCCACTGCACCAGTTATTTCTCTTGTGGGCTCGTTCAGTTCTGGAAAGAGCGTGAGCAGACCACGGGAAGAGGAGGCCATGTTCTGGGTAGCTGGACGGGAAGAAGAGGCCATGTTGCTGAGTGTTTCAGAGACGGGTTGGTTACAGAGTATTACAAAGTTTCTCTCTCAGCAAAAGAAGAGTTTTTTCAGAGGATTTTTCAGAAGTTTTTTGTCTGCCTCAGCCTCAGCATCACCCTTGGTTAAATAGCCAAGGCAGCCACGCGCATCATGCGCCGCTCGGCGCTCGACGCCAACCTGGACACACATTTTGATGGTACGCCTTTTGATGGATTGGGCACGCCTTTTTTTTGACAGATTGGGCACACCTTTTGAGGGTGCGACTTTTTAGGGGTCCGACAAGACTCTGTAAACTGTCCCGACATAGATTCCGGTTAGTTTCTACAAGGGTCCGACAAGACTCTGTAAACTGTCCCGACATTGATTCCGGTTAGTTTCTACAAGGGTCCGACAAGACTTTGTAAACTGTCCCGACATTGATTCCGATTAGCTCCTTCATGGGTCCGAAAAGACTTTGTAAACTGTCCCGACATTGATTCCGGTTAGTTTCTACAAGGGTCCAGCAAGACTCTGTAAACTGTCACAACAACTGTCACAACATTGTCTGCTACAACGGTCCGACATGACCCCATAAACTGTCTTCTACATCGGTCTGACACTGCCATCCAGTGTCCTCTACACCGCTATGACACCACCATATAGTGTCCTCTACAACGTTATGACACCCCCATACAGTGTCCTCTACAACGTTATGACACCACCATACAGTGTCCTCTACAACGTTATGACACCACCATCCAATGTCTTCACCAATGGTCTGACACGACCATACAGTGTCCCCTATCCTCTTTTATTTTTGTTAAAATTTACCATCACCTACCACCAATTTATCATCACCTACCACTACCTACTCCTCACCTATTCCTCACCTACTACACTCACCCTCTCCTATATAATGAGTCACTCACCATTTGTAATATATACAATAACAACACATCAATCAATAATACATGCATTTCTACATGGTATCAGAGCAATAAGATTTAGGCCTATACTCCTTTCTTTCCGGCGGGCAGCCGGCCGGCAACCTTGCCTTCGCTGCCCGCGGGAGTTTTTCAACACATATCACAAACACATACCAGAAACTCTTCTTTCTTTGTTTTCTCATCTTCCTCGTCATCAATTTCCATCCTCGGTGAAGAATACCAGTACTGATACTTTATCACTGAAATACCACACAGGTTGATTATTTTTTCACAGCAACCTGCAGTAGTGTGTTTGGAGGACCAGAAGCAACATTCTGGAATAAAACCATCGGCAGAAGAGTCCTCGCTGATGTTCCAGGTAGCAATTGTGGGACCTGTAGTGGTCCAGCAGCAGCAAGACCAAATGTGTTCTTGTTGAACTGGATCATAAACCCATCAAGGGGAATCTGTGAGTTGTTCTCATCACTGTCTTCATGTACCTTTGGATGCACAATCTCCCCTAACAAGCTTTCTCCAAGCTTCTCGCTCGCCGCAATCAAGTCCGCCGCCGACGAAGCCGACAAAGCCATTTTGAGATCTGGGTTTGGAAATTTATTTTGTTCTTTGGGTCGAAGGAAAGAGAGGCAGAGAGAGATGGGGCAAAAGAATGGAAAGGACATGCAATGGTGACCAATCTCTCCTCTCTCTCTCTACTCAAGGCAAACCCATTCTTCTTTTATTTATTTAATCACACCCGTATCATGTTGTTCACCACTCATTCTCTCTCTCTAATAATCAACCCACATGTTCCCCATTTCTTTTCTTTTCTTTATTTTTCACTTTCAAACCCTTTATTTTTTTTTTTATTCTCTTTGAATTCCGTAATGCATTCTCAGCCGACATACACCTGCATAAAGAGCCCTTTTCTTTTTTATTTTTATTTTATTTTATTTAATCAACCCCACTCCACTCTCTCTTATTTTAATCTATCTCTATATCTATATATCTATGTTTCTTTTCATCTATTGCACAGACCATTCTTATTAGTATTATTATTATTATTATTATTATTATTATTATTATTATTATTTTGTTTCTTTTTTAATTTTTGCACTGCAAACAATTTACAAATTTGCACAACCACCCATATTTTATTCATCTCAGCGAACAACCCCGTTCACCATTTTACATAAAAATAAATAAAAAAAAAAAAAAAAAAAAAAACACACAAACAAAACCACCACACCCACAGTGGTTTTTTCCCTTCTCTACTCTGCCGCCGGTCTTTTCTTTTTGCCTCCGTCCTGGACGGCCCTTGCCGTTGTTACCTCCGTGTTTCCCACTCCACTGGGCATGATCACTACTCCCTGCTCCTCCACTGCAGCATATGGTGACCCTCCGAATCGGAACATCACGGTGGCCTTCCGCTTCAGCTCCTTGTTTTCTGCCTTTAGCACACTTATCTCTGCTCGCGCATCCTGATACATGCGTTGGAGCAGAGCCAGCTGGGAGTTTAACTGTTGCACCTCATTTGTCCTGCTCTGCAGCCGGTGCGACAAATTTGTGACCGCAGTCATGGTTTCCACGCATGACTTCAGAGTATACTGATTGGCCTCAATATCAGTTTGCACCGCCATTTTTTGCTCCACCGACCGCATCGGAAAGTTCAACGGAGCAAACACAGAGGTGTTTGGTTGAGGTTATTTATGAAGAAATCAAATTATATATATA